CCCTACTCCCCTCAGGCCTTCCCTCTCTTCTCCCCTACTCCCCTCAGGCCTTCCCTCTCTTCTCCCCTACTCCCCTCAGGCCTTCCCTCTCTTCTCCCCTACTCCCCTCAGGCCTTCCCTCTCTTATTCCCTACTCCCCTTAACCAAGAAATGCGCACCTTTATCCAAACATAAACTATACACCATAGAATTTCGGTTTTTATATCGTATTCCATACATTGACTTCGTTTAAGAAACCTTTCTACGGCCTTGTATGGTTAGCCGGAAAAAAAAGATATCGGAAACACCACCAACCCCCCCCCCCCCGGTTTAAATTAGTATAAAAAAGCAAGGAATGAATTGCAGGAATTTATCAATTATGACAACCTCCATTACCCTAACCCGAACACGTGACTTCGTATTGAACTACAGGTAACCCAGAGGTCGCCTGCAGCTATTTGCTGGTGAACAATTGCTTCCCTTGTCGTGATTATTTGCTGTCTGAGGCTATGTGAATGATTGGATGTGTTGAATGTATGGATGTGTTGAATACTTTTTGAAACTTAAATATCTACTTTATCACACCTCATGCACATCCAACACCTAACACACCTCATACACATCAACACATCTCACCAACATCAACACACCACATCCACATCAATATCTCTCACTAACATCAGCACATCTCATACAAGTCAGCACATCTCACCAACATCAACACACCACATCCACATCCACACATCTCACCAACATCAACACACCACATCCACATATCTCACCAACATCAGCACATCTCATACACATCAACACATCTCACCAACATCAACACACCACATCCACATCAATACCTCTCACTAACATCAGCACATCTCATACAAGTCAGCACATCTCACCAACATCAACACACCACATCCACATCCACACATCTCACCAACATCAACACACCACATCCACATATCTCACCAACATCAGCACATCTCATACACATCAACACATCTCACCAACATCAACACACCACATCCACATCAATACCTCCCACTAACATCAGCACATCTCATACAAATCAACACATCTCACCAACACCAACACACCACATCCATATATCTCACCAACATCAGCACATCTCATATACATCAACACATCTCACCAACATCAAGACATCTCCCTAACATCAAAACATCTCACCAACATCGAAACATCTCGTACACATCAACACACCTCCTCAGCATCAACACATCTTGTACACATTTTCACATCTCATGTACATGAACACACCTCAATCCATATCAACACATCCCATCCACATCAACACAGCACATGTACATCAACACGCCCCCTCCACATCTACACACCTCATCCACGTCAACACACCTCATGAACATTAACACATTTTATACACCTTATGCACATCCAACCACATAGCACACCACGTGCACATCAACACGTCCCATCCACATCAACACATCTCACCCACATCTCACACACCTCATCATTGGTGATTGTCAACCACGAAGAACTTTTTGTTTGGTCAGGTATATTAAATAACCCAATCCCCACACATCCACTACCCCCTCCCCTCCCCTCCCCCATCCCCCAGTAAATCCATCTTTCATTACTCCATACAAACCGGATGGACTTCCCATCTTGAACTATGTACCTGCTATTGACTCTCCATATTTGCACAGCGTAGAATCCGATAATGACGAATGAAGTATTCCTGGCGGAGGTGGGAAGCTGGTCTCAGTGAACAGAGCCGAACAAGCTTCTTCTCTTTGGTGTTGTCTAAATGTTTCCAAGGAGGCTAAATCCATTTCAAAGGTGCGATTTCCGTGAACGTCCACGTTGAAATTGGGTAGAGAGTTTATTGGTGTAGAGTGTTGGGTCAACTTAATAATTTATTTGCGAATGCACATGTACGACTTAGAGAGCTACTGCTTAAAGAATCACGATATTTTAAAATATCCTTTCTAGCCATGTAATTTCCCCATTATATTTCTCGTTGCGATTAAATTGAATACGTACAGCAGGTACAGTAACTTTCAAGTGATCAGTTTTTTTTTTATTTCCCGTAAACCTAGATGAAAACTGGTTAAGTAAAGGAACGGGAGATGATTGAAGACAACACTGACCTGGTATCGAACCAGGCTTCAGACAATTGGCAGGTGAGTGTTCTATTTTATGGCAGGTGTGTGTGCTCTAACGAGGGACCTTTGAGTGTTGTACTTAATGGCATTTTGGTATTCAGTCTGATGAAATTTCAGTGTTCTAGCTAGTTATGGGCATGTGTTCTACCTAGTGGCGAGCGAGTGTTCTACCTAGTGTTAGATGAGTTTTCTACCTATAGGAGCAGGTGGGTGTTCTAGCGAGACAAAGGTGTGCTTACCTAGTGTTAGATGAGTGTACCAAGTGGCAAGCGAGTGTTCTACCTAGTGGCAGGGGAATGTTCTATCTAGTTGCATGTGAGTGTTGTATCTAATGGCAAGGGGGGGGGGTCGTCTAGCTAGCGGAAGGTGAGTGTTCTATTTACTGGAAGGTGACTGTTCTATCTAGTGGAAGGTGTGTGTTTACCTAGTGTTAGATTAGAGTTTTACTTAGTCGCAAGCAAGCTTTCTAGCTAGACGATTGTTCTACCCAGCGGAAGGTGAGTTTTCTATCTAGTGACAGGTGAGTGTTCTACCCAGTGTACAGGGAGTGTTATACCTAGAGGCATGTTTAAAAAAAAAATGAATAACCTTTGACCTTGCCTATTTAGCCAACTGTTTGTTGTAATCCCCCCCACCCCCCCACCAAAGAAACGATTCGACAGAGAAACGTATGGTTTCCCTAGCAACAAGAGCGTCTATGACGCAGAAGGTCGTGAACTCAAGTTGGGTTCCTACGACGGTAAACTGGTGCCACCGTTCGGTGACAGGGGATTCCAGCAGATGAGAGGCCTTGAACTTCGGGATGACGACATCCTCTTGTGCGGCTACCCCAAAACAGGTGAGTCTTTTGTGACAGGTGATAATTTCACAACCGTTTCCCGTACTATTGAAGACTGGTTTTTTGGTGTGAGAGGCTAGGTTCCTTCTTATGCGGCGTGTTCCTAGATGTGCTGACGTCACGGGTGAGCTTAGGTTTTTGTCATGCGCACGGTGAGTCGCCTACAAAGACGCACATTCTGAAACACCTTTATTTGACAATCAAACCGACTTTAAATTATTGCAAAGATTGTAAGGATAAAATATTATCTTAGATGCGTAGGAATGTACACATTGTTGATACTTTTTTAACACTTAAACTCGCGAATAAAGCTACCCTTTATTATTTAGCAGAAATACGCTCGAAGACAACTTTAACATGTTCTCTTAGGCGCTTGTTTCTGATGACAATTAGAGCTGTTAAGCTTTTGGAAAAGCCGTAAAGTTTCCTTCCTAAAATATTGGCATCCGCCTTTTCCCTCTGTCAGAGTGGTGGCAAAATTGTATTAAATGAAATGGATCTTTTAGGAACAAGTATATGTTTTAATAATAAGTGAAATTTAACACACACAAAACTAGTTTTTTTTCCCCCATCTCCGATTCAGGCTGCCATTGGACGTGGGAGATTCTCAGCATGATTTCTAGGAAACAACCCCAGCTGTCTAAGTTGGGGAAAGCCACGGCCTTCTTGGAACTGGCCCCGGGTCAGCTGATGGAGGAGATTCCGTCCCCTCGTGTGCTCAACTCCCATATGTGGTTTGATTATCTTCCCAGACAGGTGTGTGCAAAACTTAAAGATGTAACTTAACACGTCTGAAACTGGGTGGATTCTCGTTCTGATTAATTCTTCTTTTGGAGCCTAGCTGTTCGGTCTTTATGGCCCCGGTCAATCCACCACTGTCGTGCCTCGTGTGCCGGTGCCCCCCCCCCCCCGGTCAATCATCACAGTCGTGCCTCGTGTGCTGGGCAAAATGCTAAAGCAATCGTGTAACGTAGTCTTCGGGATACATCGTTTCTCTACTTACCAGCTCAGAGCTCTCCGTTAGTTAGTGATTGAATATTTCCAGCGCTTGAGAGCAGGGGCCGGTAGGTTGGATCCCTGTTGGACTTTACCATATGAAAGTGGACACGTGCACGGCCATGGTCTGTTCTTATCTCAGTTGCAAGGCCATGCTGTCTAAGTGTCCACCAAGCTAGCGTGGGGAAATCCACCTAAAACAAATCTTTCAGCATCATGTAAATATGTAGATAGGACATTTGGTAAAACTAATTGAGCCAAGTTTATTTTAATAACTCCCCCTTACACGCCATCTGTTTTATTGTCAAACTCTATCCTGACAGATATCATACAAGATGACCAAGATTATCCTGACAGTAAGAAACCCTAAGGACACCGCTGTCTCCTACTACAACCATCATATGGCCCTGAAGGCCATGCAGCTGTATGACGGACCTTTCAAAGACTGGTTCCAGCTTTACATGGACGGACTAGGTTAGTTGGCCATTTATTGAAATAAAATAAAATCATTGATCAATTTTTAAACATCAAAATATCAGTTCCGAATAGATGACTTCTGCCACTTTAACTTTACCCGCATGAATTAAGTCGATGGATGATGTTATTTGTTAAAATCATCTTGTCTTTTCGCACCAAAATAAAAAAAGGCTGACTCATCACGAAATCAAGAAACACAACATCTTATTAACGGGCCCATTCCGGGTACAATACCCCATTTTGTAATAGGACATAATCCCACCACCACTACACCACATCTTGATAAAGGACACATTTCAACCCTACACCATATTTTATTAAACGACACATCCCTACCACCATTACACCCCTTCTTACTAAAGCACACATTCCTACCACTACACCACATCTTATTAAAGGACACATCCACACCACCATTACACCACGTCTTATTAAAGGACACATTCCTACCACCATTACACCACATCTTTTTAAACTATACATCGCCAACACATTACAACACATCTTATTAAAGGACACATTCCTACCACTACACCACGTCTTATTAAAGAACACATTCCTACCACTACACCACATCTTATTAAAGGACACATCCACACCACAATTGCACCACATCTTATTAAAGGACAAATCCCCAGCAAAATTACACCACATCTTATAAAAGGACACACTCCCACCACCATTACAGCATATCTTATTAAAGGACACATTCCCACCACTTCACCACATCTTATTTAAGGACACATTCCCACCACTACACCACATCTTATTTAAGGACACATTCCCACCATTACACCACATCTTATTAAAGTACACATCCCCACTACTACACCACATCTTATTTAAGGACACATTCCCACCACTACACCACATCTTATTTAAGGACACATTCCCACTACTACACCACATCTTTTTAAAGGACACATCCCCACCACCACTACACCACATCTTATTAAAGGACACATCCCCACCACTACACCACATCTTATTTAAGGACACATTCCCACTACTACACCACATCTTATTTAAGGACACATTCCCACTACTACACCACATCTTATTAAAGTACACATTCCCACTACTACACCACATCTTATTTAAGGACACATTCCCCCCACTACACCACATCTTATTAAAGTACACATCCCCACCACTACTACACCACATCTTATTTAAGGACACATTCCCACCACTACACCACATCTTATTTAAGGACACATTCCCCCCACTACACCACATCTTATTTAAGGACACATTCCCACCACTACACCACATCTTGCTAAAGGACACATCCCCCCACCATTACACCACATCATTTTAAACTATACATCGCTCACACCATTACATCACATCTCATTAAAGGACACATTCCTATGACTACACCACATCATATTAAAGGACACATTCCCATCACCATTACACCACATCTTATAAAAGGACACATCCCTACCAGTAAACCACATCATTTTAAAGGACACATTCCACAACCATTACACCACATCCTATTGAAGCACACATTCCTACCACTACAATACATCTTATTAAAGGACACATTCCCACCCCTACACCATATCCTATTATGGTATTCACGAAGTCAGGGAGATCTTTCTCGTAGACACTGCCATCAGTGTGCTAGTTTATTTATTGTTGGACATATTTTTGCTCGGGGGGGGGGGGNTGGGGGGGGGGGGGGGGGGGAGAGCACTTGGCTTTTTCCGGGGTTGGGGGCAGCGCCCCCACGGAGATATAGCTGAAAAAAACCCTGCTAGCAATACGTTTACTTGTTTACATATTGGTATATTAAGTGTCTTAGCTTTAAAAAAAAGACATATTCCACGTCTTACATTAAAATTTTCCTATTTAAACTTAAAAATTTAATCAATATGTTTTATGTACAATGATTTATTTTAGTTAATTAGCTGATTTTTAACACATGTAAATTCCATTTGTTTTGATACTAAAAAAATAAAAAATAAAAAGATATCTGTTCTTATTTATATCTAACCTCTAATCATCCATCTGATATAATCTTATTTCACGCTGAAAATTGCAAAAAAAATTTCTTATCAAATTTCTATAGAATTGGAAAGCAACTTATAAACGTTTGTAAAATTCCCAAATTTTTTTCATTGCTACTAGCGTCATCGCCTTATGTTGGGGAACAGTTCCTTCATCTGTGGGCGCAATCTTCACTTGCCTTGCAGACCTTCTGTGTGCAATGATGTCAGGCGTCATCACATATCTACCCACCCCACATCACAACCGATCACTCCTCCCACCCATCAACACGCAAACACCTTCCACAACACACTCACACGCGCATCCCCCTCACACCAACACACACGCGCCTTTTCCATATTTATACACACAAAAAAACCAGGCGCTCTAAAACAGTGGTTCTCAACCTTTCTTATGCAGAGACCCTTTAACACAGTCCCTCATGTTCTGGTGACGCCAAACCATAAAATTATTTTCGTTGGTACTTCATAACTGTGGAGTATATGTGTTTTCCGATGGTCTTAGGCGACCCCTGTAAAAGGGATCGTTCGGCCCCCAGAGGGGTCGCGACCCACAGGTTGAAAACCGCTGCTCTAAAAGAGTTATAAACGCCCACAAAACACCACACACCATCGCTATAATGATTCTCTCCGTTCTCGTACGATGCAGTGGAGTACGGCGACTACTTCAACTACTACCAAGATTGGGATCACGTGATCAAGTCCAACCCCGATCATCCTATACTGGTCGTCAACTATGAAGACATGAAAGAGGTAATGCGCGGTGTCACGGTCAGATCACGTGGTATCTCGCCACACGTGACCCGCCTGGTGATGATAGGACGCTTGAGATGTCATTTTCATGCACAACTTCCTGGGCGAATAGGGAAGACAACCTTTAGACTAAAGACAGAGTAGAGCAAAGAGATCGGTGCCATGAACGAAAGATGAATAACAGAGAGAGGGAGAGAGAGGGGGTAGAGAGAAGGTGAGAGGAGAGACAGAGATAGACAGATAGAGACAGAAAGAGAGAGAGAGAGAGAGGGGGAAGAGAGAGGGAGAGAGAGGGAGGGAGAGAATGGGCGAGAGAAGGGTATAGAAAGGGAGAGAATGGGTGAGAGAGGGGTATAGAAAGGGAGAGAATGGGCGAGAGAAGGGTATAGAAAGGGAGAGAATGGGTGAGAGAGGGGTATAGAAAGGGAGAGACAGAGAGAGGAAGAGAAAGAGTGAGAGAGAGAGAGTGAGAGAGAGGTGAAGAGAGAGACAGGGAGAAAGAGGGGGAGGTTGAGAGAAAGAGTGAAAGAGAGAAAGAAATTGAGAAAGAAAGTGTAAGAAAGAGTAAGAAAGCGTAAATAAGAATGAGAGAGAAAGAGAGAGAGAGGGGGAGAGAGAGAGAGAAAGAGTGAGACAGAGTGAGAGAAAGAGTAAAAGAGAGAGGAAAGAGAGAGAGAGAGAAAGAGTGAGATAGAATGGTAGAAAGACCGAGAGAGAGAAAAAAATAGAGAAAGAGAACGAGAGCGAAAGATAGAGGTTGAGTAAGAGAGTGAATGAGAGAAAGCCTGAGTCAAGAAACATACATGAACATATCTAGCCATGGAACATAGCCTTTAGTTCAGGCGGGATTAGTGATGTTGACACTCATCCAGGGGCTCTCAAACCTTTAGATGTTGTACGATCTGCTAAAATGAATAAATGCACTATGTAAATTTTGTTGTGTTTCGGAATGTATGTCTGCACTAGAATTATTGTTACATCTGATGGACGAAGATGAAGAACTAATTATGTATTCGCATGTACCACAGTTTGAGAGTCTTTGCCAACGTATGTGTAAGCATGTATGACAACGCAGTGTGACAAAATCTCTCTTTATTTCCCCCCAAAAACAGGATCTTCCAAGGGAGATAAGGAAGATTGCGAAATTCCTCCAGATAACTCTTGATGACAACCTCGTAGAGGACATCGCCATAGCTGCGGGGTTTGACGTCATGAAGCAAGCTTACCAGAACTCCAACTCTGTCTCCAAGGATCTTCTGCGTAAAGGTAGACTCTGATCCATACTATTGTGTAGACAGACTATTTCGTGGTACCTATCGAGACATTGTTTCATAGTGATTATGAAGACACGTTTCATGGTGATTATAGATTATGTAGACTCTTTTTCATTATTATTAATGCTATTATTATTAGATGTTTGTTTTCATAGCACAGTACACAAGCCTAGGGCTAGGTTTCAACTCGCTTCACATACAATTTAGAAATTACAGAAAAGTAGACCTTTAAAAAAACAATTGGTGAAAAGCTTGACCTCACACACCCAAGTACAATCTACCCCTGTCCAGCCATGGACAGCACCCAGCAGAATCGAGCGTTGTTTAGCAATCCGAGGGGGGTGAGAATGAGTCGGAATAGGACAGTTTGAAGAGACGGGGCTTGGGGGCAGTTTTAAAGGTTGAGATGGTCGTTATGTTGCGGATGTGTAATGGGAGGGAATTCCATCATGGAGCACCCATCACACAAAAGAAGGGTATGGCCCAGAATAAAAGGCCATGAACACGTTTGCCAAGTGAAGCCATTGGTCCTACTTTTAAATTTCCGATCAAAACCCGTCCCTTCCTAGATACGTGGGTCTCGTGGTCAGAATGACAACCACATCATCATGCCTATTATATTTTCCCCAAGTCACACTTAAACAATTTTTTAAAAGCTTGTAATTAAAACTTGTAAGAGTTATTGATATCTTTCAAACACATTTTTCAAGACCCTTGAGAAACAGATACCCACGTCACTTTATTATTTCTTTTTTCATTGCCGAAATTCAGAACTTTTTAAAAATACCTTTTTCATCTTTAGCATGCACTTTCTCCATTACCAGGTGATGTAGGAGATTGGAAGAACTGGCTCACAGTGGCTCAGAGTGAGGTTGTGGACCAGGCAATGGCCACACTACAAGGGACTCTCTTCCATAAACACAGATACACGCTGCGACAAAAGGGATCTCAAACAATACTATCATAATCATCAGCGCATTATTTGTGATGAAACAGTTCACACCTTTCAAGACCCCATGAGAGGAAGGGGTTAATGTGAATGTAAATTTGATAAAACAATTAATGTCCCCACAAGACAACTACGTTCTTCCATTGACAGTAGAACCCTCTCAATCCCAAGAACTAAAACTAAGACCATCGGTGAACGCTCCTTCTGCTTCCATGGGCCCACGTTCTGGAACCAGCTCCCCTTCCATATACGTCATAGTGAAACCTCGTCCATTTTCAAAAAGTCCCTTAAAACTCATCTGTTTAGGTCCGCCTATGACCTGTGATGCACCCTCCTTGCCCTACCTCATTTTCTGTTTCGGGTTGATCCTGAAGTGTCAAAGTGTCCTCGTTTTATAGCCATTTTCATTGTTTCTATAGAATAGTAGTTACTATCCTAGTGTCTCATTTGTATTTACTTAGTTTACATGTTTTAATAATTGTAAAGCGCTTAGAGCTTTATGATAAGAGCTATATAAAAATGACTAAATAAATAAATAAACGGCTATTCGGGGATATGCTCGAACAGTTTGACCAGACCGTGTTGTGAACGATCGTCTCGCGTGCATAGCCCAAAAATGAAATTCCCATAACGGATTGTTAAATCTGATGGGATCTAATGTTTAACTGTCGTCATAAAACCTTTAAGTGTGTAGTTTGAGGAGTCCGTCATGGCATGATTTTACAATCTAATTTTGCTCTAACGATACTTGTAAGAGGTTATCAATGATGCTCTATTTTGTTACTTGAATGACATTATCCATGATATTCTATTTTTGTTACTTGTATGTAGTTTTCCCATGATATTCTATTTTTGTTACTTGTATGTAGTTTTCCATGATGTTCTATTTTTGTTACTTGTATGTAGTTTTCCATGATGTTTTATTTTTGTTACTTGTTTGATGTTCTATTTCGTTACGGTACTTGAATGAAGTTGTCCATGATGTTCTATTTTGTTACTTGTATGAAGTTGTCCATGATGAGTCAAGATCACAGGAATCTATGTTTTAGAATTTGAATATCGTGATAATTCCAGAGGCGTACCTAGGGTGTGGCAAGAAAGGCTTCCCATAGGGCGGATAAATGGAATTATGCAAAGCGATTTCTTTTTTTGTTTTCTTAAGGTTTACCTGTATGTTACATATACCAAAATATGTTTCTCTAGCTCAGTGGTTCTCAACCTTCCTAATGCCGCGACCCTTTAATACAGTGCCTCATGTTGTGGCGACCCCCAATAGCAAAATTATTTTCGTTGATATTTTAAAACTGTAGAGCGCATGGGTTTTACTTTGGTCTTTGAGGACCTCTGGAAGAGGGACGTTCGACCCCTTTTGGAGTCGCGACCCACAGGTTGAGAACAACTGCTCTAGCTGGTTACGGGCACACTTGTATGTCTCTCCGTGGACACTGTATGTCCCCGGTACGTCTCTAGCTACTCTATAGTTTATGTTAACAAAATTCTACAAACGATCAATCTTTTAATATAATATGCATATGTGACATAGTACTGTAAAAAATATGTTTGTTTTACCAATATTAACCCCATTAGATAAGTTGAATAAAAATAGTATTTCTTAGAAAGACCTGTATGAGTTTATATGCCTTAGAAAGACCTTTATGTGTTTATTTTGCTTAGAGAGACCTAAATGCGTTTACATTTATTAGAAAGGCGTATATGAGTTTATACTACTTAGAAAGAACTAGATGAGTTTATATTATTTAGAAAGACCTTTATGAGTTTATGTTTCTTAGAAAGAACTATATGAGTCTAGAAAGGTACACGAATGTAGATTTAGTAACGTTCCCAACAAGGTTGAGTCTTAGCATTTCGTGTAAAGCCATTTCGTATACAGCGTTGTCCTGTGCTTAAATTAGATTGATTAACTTTTCCCTAGCCAAACAACATCGACCCCGTCTTCAAATTTCTTGGACAATTCAACATGCAACAAGAAATATAACACTAGAGAACGGAATATTGATTGCATCCAAAGAACAATTTAACAAGTTAGACAACCTTTCGTACTTCAATGAATTTTAAGAATACGCAATTGCGTCCCATTTTTGATGCAACTTATTTGAGTTTATATATATATATATATATATGTATGTTGAAAATTGGCTTTAGGATAAAAGAAGTGCTACTGATACACGTATTATATAGTGTAGAGTCAACCTTTAAACAGTGTCCATTTAAGAATATACAGTTGCGTCCGATTATTAATAAAGAAGGCGTCAGATGACGTAGTTTCGAGAATTTCTTTTTTTTCTAGTGTTGCTGATTTAATCCTCGCCTTTTGACCGGCAGCTCTTCCGGCCGGCAGACATTTTGCCTACATTTCCTAGACATGGACGAGACGTCATATAATAGTAACATTGCATTGAACTCTTTTCGTGTGTATAAGTAAATTGGTCTTGATATTCTTCAAGGATTGTAACTTGCTGTCCTGGAGTTTGACAGCTTTTTTTTCTTTGCTGTGTCTATATATTTCAATTTTCACTTTTTATCGAAATTTAATAACATAATTAAACTAAACAATGTTGGTATCATTAGCTTTGGTAGCGTTGGTTTACGTTGTATGTTGGTTTTAAGTCCTTTGTAACTTATTGTTCATTCTAAGAGTCAAAACTTAAAAAAAGATATTAAATTTGTCAAACGATTTACGGTACGTAACAGTCATATCAATCTAAACTGAATGCTAGAACAAAATTAATTAAAAAAACTATTACAAATTGAAACAGTCACTGTACTTGAAATTGATTAATTTGCTAATGTGCCTGCTATAAAAAAAATATTAAAATATCCGCACATCCTGATATCAAGGAAGTGCTATTGTCACTGATCGATTTATTGTGCTTTATCATCACTCTGACTGAACCTGACAATGGCACCGTCTTTACAAATAGCGCACACTTTGGCCCTAGTCCCCCCCCCATGTGTTTGCGTTATTTCCAGGTTTCAGTGTACTTATCCCTTATCATAAAGTCATAAAGGAGGTAAGGGAGGTTTTATAGGTTGGGGGAATATTTGGCTGGAGCCTCATTTTCAAAGGAAAGCTATGTCAAATTTAAATAAAAGTTTAGATGTACACTATTAGCACTGGAACATACTTTATAAATATAATGTTAGCGTACGCACATCAAACAATGTCATTGTATACCAAACCAAATTCTGATACCAACAATTGGGACCATACCGGTCTAACCGGCCCGTATGGTAAGCATAAAAGTAGGTACTGGTGTTATACGACCCGAGAATACTCAGGTAGGGATTGTGAAAATAAAGAAACCATGTAGGCCAGTGGTTCTTAACCTGGGTTCGATCGAACCCCAGGGGTTCGGTCAGTCAGTCTCAGGGGTTCGGCGTAGGTCCAAAAAAAAAATCAGACAAAAATAATAGTTTATTATTCCTATTAAGAAGGGTTCGGTGAATGCGCATATGAAACTGGTGGGGTTCAGTACCTCCAACAAAGTTGAGAACCACTGATGTAGGCCTATTGCTACCGAACCTGAGTTGACTGAAAGAAAAAAAAAAAAAAGTAAACTAGGTCACTGCCACAAACGGTGTCTTAAAATAATAACTGAAATACCCACAAAATGTGGACAGTCTTATCCCAACTAATAAGTTGTTAGTCTTGTTACAATTTTACGTTGATGTATTTATTAAAGTATCCTAACCAGTTTTAGGTTTATTATCAGAAATAGAATTCACAAACCGATTCATATTTTCTTCCTTTTTTTCTTCTCTGCTTCAGATTCGTGATGAAAACGAAACTGTATATATATATATATTTATTTTTTAAAAAAAATTTTTAGGGGGTTTATTTATAGTTATGGGAATTACCTTTATTACCTGCCATAATTGAATACGTGTCGGATGCTTCGTCATTTGGAAGTTTTGGTTAACTTCTATTTAACTCTTGGTGCCTGTGTGTAATACTTTGCTAAAAGCTTTCCACTGAAATGAACAGTAAATCTGAAACCGTAAAGCATCTGATAAACGTACATGTTGTTGTTTTTTATGGTTAGAACGCTACGTTAATTTACTCTCGTCTAGCACCAGTCTAGAGGTGCAGATTACGAAATGGGAACAGTGTACAGTGTGTTTAACTGGACTATTTTACTTTATATTATTTTTTGTTTTTTGTTTTTTTTAAAACTTACTAAATCAAACTAGTAAGACATAAACAAATGATATACATGTTTTAACAATTTAATTATTTTTTTTTCTTAATCCGAAACGAAACCCCGTTACCATTTGCAAATATTTGGTGTCGGATTCGAAACCACAACTTTCGTCTGGTGAAGAATGCAAAGCTCAAATAAAGTGTACAGATTTTTCGTCTACATTTGACCATGTTGCGTTTTGCTTAGTAAGCATAAAATCTAGTTGTCTATTACTAGGGCTAAGTAGGGAAAAGTGACGTAAGTAACCAACCCGTCCATATACTTTTTTTAATTGTATAACATTTTATACATAGAACCAGTTCTTTAAATGAACTATTTTAATCATTTAATCCAGTTTATTCATATTTTAAATGTAATTAATTAAGGACGCAGTTCATCTGTATTCCCGGGAATAAGAATCCCGTTTTAGACATGTTTCTAAGGAACACTACTTTAGACATGTTTTTAAGAAACCTTAGTTTAGACAGGTTTTTAAGAAACCCTAGTTTATACAGGTTTTTAAGAAGCCCTAGTTTAGACAGGTTTCTAAGTTGCCATCCAAGGTTAACGAGTCCCATCTACCCGGGGTACTGGTGATGTTTTTCCTTGACAGGGCTTTGGTGGGATTTGAACTCCAGACGATCAACTAAGACTTGATATTTGCTCAATTTAGACCACTCGGCCAGTCCCTAAAATATTATCATTTAACTCTAAAAGGTGTCCCATATTTTATCTTGACAGGGCTTTGGTGGGATTTGAACTCCAGACGATCAACTAAGACTTGATATTTGCTCAATTTAGACCACTCGGCCAGTCCCTAAAATATTATCATTTAACTCTAAAAGGTGTCCCATATTTTAATAAGCTATAAGAAAACTATTCAAAGAAGGGGAATTTCTGATTAGACGAAGTCTAAGATAAGGAGACTCACGTTATTTAACCTAACATTGGAGAGAGTTTCAAATAAACATATAGAGTGACACCCGAGGAACAATAGCAGGATATTTTCTAATGGAGACCCAAGACCCACAACCAAATAGGCACACTTTACAATCTTCGCTTCAGTATCTTAAATGTGCTGTTTTCATAGCACTGTTAGGGGAGAGTAGTAGAGACATAGCAAAAGGGTTTATTGAATATAAAACGCACAACTACAAGCCGGGCTGAGAGTAAACAACCAAATAAGAATACATGGCTATGATAAGCGAAGAACAAACAGACAGGTGAAGCCATGAAAATTAGAAACCCCACGTTTGAAAAAGTAAATCAATTCAAATACCTAGGATCGTCATTAAATGAAAGAAACGAATTACTAACAGAAATAAAATATAGAACATCAGCCGGGAACATGGCATACTTCGGTGGTCAGAAAATACTCAAAAGTAAAAAAAAAAACATTACAAGAAAAACCAAGAAAACTATTTATTAATCTGTAATCAGACCAGTTGTAACACATGCAAATGCCTTCCTCCTTTTAGCATTAAAACCATTTAAAATGACTTCATTAAACATATCGGTGAGGCACAGCTCTTACTTTCAATTGGTTTCTATCTGGTGTTTTTTTTTTTTTTCATAGGAATGTTTTCATTATCAAATTAATGTTGGGTATTTGCGTTTTAATTGGTTAATGTATATAATAATTTTTTTTAAAAATATTCACAGTTCAAATTAAAGGAGACAGAACTATTTGAGAATACAATAATCAACGTAAACTATGGCAGAAGCGTTAAACAGTGAAAGATTTGAAACGGTCGCAACACCGAAAATTAAAGCAAAAATCGAAGATGAGAAAGTCTTGAAGGAGCTATTCGAAGAATTGAAATTGAAGTCAAAATCTGAAGAACTGTTGAAGCGTTTCCCCTATATTAGGAAAAGTATGGACTTTTAAACCTTTGATTGCAATGTCGTGTACATTTATAATCCTAATATATATGAACCAGAATGTCGTGAAATATTCTACTGGCGTTTGGTTTTCTCGATTCGCTTTTAACATTTCAAACCTGTTCCAATAGGAGCATCCCATATCTAAAGACGTCACCTATAAAAACTACAAAGCAAGAGCTACACAGTTAATCTCAACCCCAAATACACTCACTAGCAAATCCCTATACAGAGATTTCTCATTGCCAAAAACGTCACAAATACAAACTGAATAGCAACATCAACACAACTAATCTCTACACCAAATACGCTCACTAAAAATCACTATGTTTATGACAGACACACAACTCACGGCGTTAATACATATGGACATATTGCTAACTCTGTAAAGTTGAACATATTTGTTGAATAATCGTCAGTAGTATAATTGTCTTTGATTGCATAAAACGATTTGCCTTTGATAAAGGTTCAGCAATTAAACATTTAAGTTCAACATTAATTTAAATAAAAATGTGTAAAATAACTTAAAATGGATTTTTTTAATTGGGTGTGGGGTTGGGGGGGGGGGTGGTTGTCCGCTATAATTTTAATCTATCTGTGTTACCCGCTTTGGATGAGTTTCATTACTTTATATATTCTCAGAACAATGCATCAGGAGGGTTATGGTTGCTGTCCATGAGCTTGAATACAAGGTAATATATATGTTAACTGCAAACTGATATATTTAAAATATATTTTGGTAACATTATTTGAATTATAAGGTAATATTATCTTAAAAGTAAACTAGCGTGTTAAATAAAAGGTAAGAATATGCTGCAAAAAAAATAAAAATAAACAGCAACCAGGACAAACAAATTGAAATAAGTCTGTTACTCGCGTCTTAAGCCATTTAAGAAACACTCTCCTTGTTAAACAAGATACGTAGATGAAACGGTGTTAGAGAAAGTTTAATGCGTTAATATTTACCCGCAATTGCGAAAACTCGCGTGTGTATCTTCCGGTCCTATTTTAACTGTAATTATTTAACACAGCTAAATCCAGGATCCATCATCTAAAAAACTAATTTTAACGTGTGCTACTTAATAGTGTTTTTTACGTATTTGTAACCTAAAAAAAATAAAGGCCATTTCACACGCCCTTGAAAGGTATATACCTTAGAAAATGTTAAATCAGACGTTCCACTTTGATCATAACTGTATCCGAAAGGCCTTGGCCGACATGTTTATACATTTGTTGCAACAAAATTTAATAGATTAAGGATTGCGAAATATGTGCAGTTTAATAATATATCTTCCTGTGCATAAATTTGAAGGATATCTATGAAAGGAAGCATTTTCTGATATATTTATTTGGGAACTGTATAGGTGTTACCATCATATCCCCAATTGTAACAAATTTTCTTACAAATCTGAAATTATTGTATATTTGATCATATGCTATAATTGTAACATAAAATACGTGGGCAAATCTGAAAATTCATTCCTTGATAGATATGGAAAAGTTTTATTTTCTAACTGTACAGAGTTTGTCAAGCACCATTTCGACGGTAAAAACGAGTGCACTTTTAGGGACTACCGGTGGACAGTGATGGATGCACTGAGTGACAATCAGATCTATCTGCTAGACAAGTGGAGATACGTCTTTAACAAATGTGAACGTGACGTCCAGAAAATTATATGGAAAATGATGAATTGCGATGTGAACTCACCGAATGGAGACTTGTTAGATACTGTGTGGAACAACAACTCTATTAAGGAAATAATAGAACAAATCAAAGAGATGGTACAACAAAATGACACCATGAACAAAGAGTTGGATAGGAAATGGGATTTGAACGCTGCAAATGATGACGAAGAAACTTTCTTGAGAAGTGAAAATGAAAAATGGATTAAAAAAACCAAGACTTTATTTCTTGAAGAGGGGGAACATTACTGGATGAAAAAATTACAAACCCGTGAAAATGGTATGAATGTCAAGAGCAGTTCAAAATGTAAGGATAATTGTCCACATTTTTATACTGAGTTTTTTAAAAGTTTGCCAAATAATGACGTAGCATAAGGAGCCACAGATGATCAGTCATAAATAGATATATATTTAAAGCATTCGTTGTTAATTTCAAATGATGGGAGTTTTATTTTGTGCGTCTATTGAACACAGCTTTAAACGTGGACGTTGGGTGGTTTCCTTATAAGGGCTACATCAAAATTTTATAAAATAGAGTAACCTTCTCTTAGAGATCTCCCACTTTTTCCACTTCTTAGTAGTTCTTAATTCATTTTTGATATTTCTTAACTCAGTTTCCCGTAAGTTAAGAAGAGGTAATCAAAACACAACCCAATAATATTTATGTTAAAAAAAAATTATACTTTCAATAAGAATAATGTATTTCCTTAAAATTCATTGTATCATCTTTTAATCCCATGTTTACACCATGGTTTGAAGAATGATGCAAGCGACCAATCCTACGATTGCGTAATAACCCATATGCCTTTTTCTTCACCAAAATCAATTGAATATATATATATATATAAATATATATATATATATATATATATATATATTCATGGGCGCCCACAGAAAACTTTCTTGGGGGGGGGGGGCCAAAAAAAATTGATTAACTTTCCAGG